ACAGATGCAGAAAATGAGACTGAAAAGTTAGCTCAGTGATTTGCCCAAGGTCACCCATCTAGGTAGTGACAAGGCCAGGACTCACATGTGTGTCTCCTTCTTCCAAATCTCTTTCCTCTAGTCTAGACATATAATTCTAGTAGTCCTTGAGTGATGACTACATATCCTGTAAACTGAACTTTACAGATTTCAATATGTTAGGGCTGAAACATGCCGAGTTCTACTGAATGGCATCATAGAGTCTTATCCCAGAAAGGAAAAAAAAAAGTTTGGTTTCAAGCTAGGTCAGAGCAAATGCTGTGTCCCAGGTGAGCATACAATTAGCCTACAATTAAGAATCAACAAGCTGTTTAAATTCCCAGCACCAAAAGAATCAAAATTAAAATATAAAACAGGGCCTGGGAGTGTTGCTAGGTGGTGGAGCACACTTGCCTAGCATGTGTGAGGCCCTCCACTCCCAGCACTGCCAAAAAAAAATGACATCAAGTTGAGATGCCATTTTCTCAAAAGCCCTACATTCTAGTGGAAAAAAAATGCAAAACAATAAACATGATGAAGACTATCTTCTCAGGTCTAAAATTCTCCGAGATAGAGGATGATTTCCCGTGTGAATCACCTCTAAGAACTATAAAAAAGTGGGCTACCCAAACTGCCATTTTATTAAAGAAAAGTTGGGTCAGCATCATATAGTGCAGACAGTCCCAGGGATGGAGAAGAAAGGATTGATGGGGAGCCTGTGAGAGAAGTTCCCCTGGCCTGCTGGGACACAGGGCAGATGGCAGTGAGTCTAAGAGGCAATGACAGGTGAAGAAATGGAGGCAGGGGGTGGAAAGATTGACCCCAGAAAGCCGGCTGTGGAAGGAAGGGGCCACTGTGTGTTTGCTGGCCACAAGGAAGAAGCTGCACAAGAACCCAGAAAGACACTAAACAAGCAAGAGAGAGTGAGAACGTCCCATTGAATCACAACTGCTTCAGTTCCTCAATTGTTGCCTTCTCCTAGAAAGTAGAGAGCATCGGGGGCATGGGATAGAAATCCATTCAGAGAGACACAGAATGTCAGAACAGTGGGTGGTATGTTTGGCTAACCCTTAGGTACCTACCACTTTAGGCCCCATTGACCTGTTATGCATAATGCACCTGGCACCCTGTTGAGATCCCTAATTTTCTCCCTGAAGTGAAAAAGGTCAAGCTTGGTTTTCCCTCTCCAAAACCTAGGACAAAGAAAATAATTCAACTCCAACTGGAAGACACTTGAGCATTGTCCCTTAAAATAATTAAAATGATTTCTCTTCTTCCTCTTTCCAACTGCCTCCCCAGGAATTTTTTAAAGAGAAGAGACACTTGAACTTGAGATTGGTAGCTCTGGAGTGATTGACTGGAGGGAACATCATGGTTTTTATAGTTTGGCTTCTTCAGAACCACAGGGGAAAAGATGCTGACCCATATCTGAAAGTTAATAAAGAACCACAGAAATTTCATGAAAGGGCTGTTCTCAGTGCCTGCCCTTCACCCCCAAATGCCAAAGGACACACCTAACTCACACTCGTGCTATTCTTGGTGGAGAATCTCAGAGTTAGGAGAGCTTTTCGGGGGTTACCTAGTTTAAGACCGTTTCTGGAACCTGTGCTATAGTGTTCGAAGCCTGTTCTCCAGTGGTCATAGAGGAACTTGCTCCCTTCTAAGCATGTCCATTTCGTTGTTGGAAAGTCTTGGCTGTGGGTGACATCCTAAGGTTGAACTGAAGCCATTTGCTCTCTGTCATTCATGGGTCTAAGCTTTACCTTTTGGAATCACACAGAACAAAGACACTTTCTGTCTTTTAGGACAGTCCTTTAGAGAACTAAAAACAAATGTGACCTTTCAAATATGACCTTTTCAAAAGCATTGTTAAACTTGCAAGTATGATTTCACAGCCAGTGGTGGTATCCTCACCACACTAAAATAGGGAGGAAATGGAGATTTATTTTATGAATTCATTTGCTGCAAATCTGGCTGGGAAATATTGCTTTAGAACTGAGGCATCTGCAAGTTTGGAATGATTATCTGACCAAAACCCTAGCACTACTGTCTTCTATACTTTCTCTCTCTCTCTCTCTCTCCTCTCTCTCTCTCTCCTCCACTACCATGTATGTCTCCTTCCTCTCAGAGGAAGGTTTAAAGTAGAGATCTCTTCAGATCTGAGAAACAATGCTGAGCTAAAGCTGTATTTCAAAAGGAAAAGAGAATCCATCACTTCAGTCACAACTTACCCCATTCAACATTCCAGTGTTGCAGTGAGCTGCTTTGCCACTATCACTAAAAGACCTGACAAGAACAATTTTAGAGGAGGAAAAGTTTATTTGGGGGCTCCCGGTTTCAGAGGCCTTGATCTACAGAGAGCCAGCTGTGTTCCAGCTGTGTTCCTCAGAGCTCAAGGACAGCTGAATATCACCATGAAAGTGTGGCAGAATGAGGCGGCTCAAGACATCACACCAGAAAGCAGAGGAGAGTGAGCTCTGCTCATCAAGGACCAAATAGATATCCCAAAGGCATGCCCCAGGGACCCACCTCCTCTGGCACCGGCCTACCAGCCTATGGTTGTCATTCAGTTAACCCCTAAGACTCTTCTAACCCAGTCATTTCTCCTCTAAACCCAAACATTTCTCTTCTAAATCTCATCTTACACATGAGATTTTGAGGGACAACTCAACTAAACTAACAGCCAGTGATTTCCTTGGGGGTTTTGATGAGTCTGGGCTTAATGGATAATAGGAATAACCAATCAACTGAGTACTCCATAAACAGCTTGTTCCACGGGTATTCAGGATTCAAGGCTGGGAGATCAGGACTTTCTGCAAATCGCAAAGAACCAAGAGACTGAACTCAGGATCTGGTCCTATAACCAAGGTTTGTCTTCAGGCCTGTTATGTATTTGTGCATAATCCAGGCAGACTGGGAAAATGACTGGACTGAAAGCCCATATCTCCTCTCAGTTCAAATTGAAGTACATAGGATTTCACAAACTGCCTTGTTCAGTAACATAGCTGTCACATTCTATTGAAATTTGCAGCATCCTTTTGAAATGGGCACAACTATTAATCATCTTAATTTATATACACAGCATATGCATAAATTACATTTATTCCAATGAAAAGTTAGTGAACTATGCAAATATTGAATTATTGTATCAGGAAGAACGTATCCCCCACAAAAATGTCACTGTTGGGTGGGGTATAAAGGTTAGGGGTAGGCCACTTGTCTAGCACGTATGAGTCCCTGGGTTGGATTTCCCACTCTGTAAAAAGTATTGTTAGTGTTCTGTGTTTGTGTTAATGACTTACTAGGTACTGGGGTCTGGCAGTAGAGAACAGGGGTATGACACAGGTGAAACCCCTCAAAGTGAGCTCCATCCTTTTCACAATAGACAGTTACACTAGTGTATACTAAGGGAGAGCATGTAATGCTATGTGAACCCAAAGTGGACACCTACCTGAGTCTGGAGGGGCATGGGAGCTACTGAGATGAAAAAAAAATCACCTTAGGTGATTTCTAAAGATACAGTGGATAGATGGACAAAGGAATATTAAGGAACAATTCCTTAAAGGGAAGAATATAATTTATGTATGTATAGACTTGCAAGATATTTACTTGCAGCATATTTAGTCTAGCTAGAACTGTTGAGAAGGAATTGGTAGAAATGAGTTGATTTATGATGGATCAGAAAGATAGGGATTAATATTTGCAAACATATGTACCTACCCTTAATCAACCCCATCCCACTGAGAATGGTACCAATTTATCAAGGAAGAGTTGGGCAGAGGGAAAGACTTACCAAGCTTCCTCAACAGGGCATGTCAATGAGTCCTGTTCACCAGCAGTATGCCTTTAAGAAAGCAGAATTCTGAAGAGCCTGCAGTCCTGCCCCATAGGGACTAGAGATGAGATCCTAATCATAGCTAAAAGCCAACAAAGGAAACAAATTCCTTCCACCTGTTCTCCTAATTCCCCAAATATTCATGATCCTCTTCAACAAAAAAAATATATTTTTAAAAATTTTTACTAATGCATTTTAATTATACATTCTTATATTTGTACACATGCACAATATATTTAGACAATTTCATCTTCTCATTTTACATTTCCCTCAATTTATGTGCATCACATTCCCATCCCATCACTTAAATACAGCAAAGGAATATAGAATAGAATCACAGCATAAGCATTGCAGAGCCCACAACAGAGTTCCATTCATCCCCATCTCCCCAAGTCTAATGTCCAGAGCCCAATGGATATATGAAACAGGCAAGCCCAGAATGAAGTCAGCTCCAGGCCTCTGCATGGCTCACTCTCCCCTCCACCACAGTCCTCTCCTCCTGTCCTTCTCCAAACAGGCCTCCTGGTCTCTGAGCCACCAAGGAACTTTCTTTAGGTGTGATTACAGGGCTTTAAATGTAATGTAGAATAAGAAAACATCCTGTGAAACCTACTGCTTCATAGAAAGTTTGAAATTTCCCTCATCCTAATCAGCAGTGACAGCTCTTCTCTTCTTTACCACAAATGCTGGTGATGTTGAAGCAGTTGCCATCTCGGACAACTCCATGGTGATGCTTCCCTGTGGGCCTTTTCCCAGATGCAGAGGCTGAGAGGAAAAGCCCTACACGTTTACATGAAGATTCCTATAATGACGGTTACCTACAAAGTTCTCTAGTCTAAGAATTAGAAGGTGGAAAGAGCATAGAAGCAGGCAGTCTGGATAGGAGACATTCATTTCCAGGAGATAGGAGGGGAGGAAGAGGGTACAAAAATCTCAGGCTACTAATACCACTCCAAATCTTCCAGAGCCTTAGAAGCTGAACACTAGCAAAAGTCCACCTTTCCCAGGCTTTGGTGGATACTTTATAAAGTTCTACCAGCTTGGGCCAGTGACTTGAAAACGTCACAATAAAAAATGACAAAATAGAGGCCTGGGGTTGTAGTTCAGTGGCAGAGTGCTTGCCTTGCACATGTGAGGAGGCACTGAGTTTGATCCTCAGCACCACATAAAAATAAACAAATAAAATAAAGACATGTTGTCCATCTATAACTACAAAAAAAAAATTTAAAAGACAAAATAGGACATCTTCAAAGGACCATCTTACCCAAGCATCAAGGCTCTGACTAGTGGTCAAATTGTACTGACCAATAGTAGTGGTCAGATTTGTTCTAGTGACCAAATTTGACTAGGTCAAATTGGTATCAGCACAGTCTTGTCAACTGAGTAGATTACAAATGGGGGAAGAGACTAAAGTAACAATACTTAGGTCAAGGGATAGGACCTATAGATTTAAGATCACATATATCTTTCACACTGATATTTTCAACCATTCTACAATTACATGGGCAGCCCTAACTAGCTGTTCCTTCATTATTATCTACATGTGCAAGACTGAGCAATCATATCAGCAAACTCCTTATACAGAATATTTCCAGTTTCCTCAATCAGAAGGATGCTCATGGGAACACATTTATAAGGCACACAGGAGGGCCAAGGGACATTCTTGTCCAGCAGCTCACTGACAAGGTTTTGAATGATGGCGTGATTGGGGGAATTGAGACCATAGCGTAGCACCCGAGGACAGGATCCCTTACAGTAGTTTGGGGTATGGTGACGAGGAGCAATGATCCAATGATTCCAGCCTCGCAGCTGGAAGCTGACTTTGAAAGGACGAAGGGAACACTGATTATTGGCAGACTGATTATTTGCAGACCCATAACGTTCCTGGGAAGAGTCAGAAACCATAGACATGATGCTGCCTGCTCGCCGGACCCTTTTTTGGAAGATTCCCTTTCCAAAAATTCCTCCAGTCCACTGGGAAGTTTAGTCCACTGGCCACTTTTATGAGTGTCATTGAAATAGACTAGCACAAAGGCAGTGTCCAAAGGTGAAGTACCATTCCATTGGATCCCAGGAATCCAATGGAATCCAAAAAAGCGAGCTACCTTTTTGCTGCTGACACATGAAGTGGAGTCTTAGGACCCTGTGACTCTTGTGATTCCAGAGTGTCTGTTGAATGTGCTGTGTGATGTCCATCTCTGTCCAAGCTTTAGACAGAGAAGGCTTTGAGGAATTTCCTCCTGATGGAAAGTGGTTGGTTGGGCTTTGTGGGGCCCAGGCTCCACATGGCAGGATAAATGACAGTGAGCTAGGTCGAGTTGTTGACATAAACCACAGTGGCTCTGACCAGTTGGTACACTTCCCGTTTTGGTGTGAGAGGAAAGCCCAGGAACCTGCACACATAAGGCAGAACAGGGTCAGGGGATTAGTGTCTTGCCTGAATACCAAATCTGAAAATCCTTCACAAAACTGTTCAAGATAAGCACAGCTGTTATCAGCCCTGAAATTAACTCAAAGTAATAATATCTATCATTTGTTGAACACTTATGAATGTACAAGATGCTTTATATTTATAAACTCTTGAATCCTCAATAGTCTTATGAGATACTTATTATTCCCATTTTGCAGACAAGGAAATTGAGGCTCATAGAAGCTATGTCAAAGGACACACACCCAAGTGCTGGCTGTATCTCATTGGTGAGAGCACTTTTGCCTAGCATATGTAAGGTCCTGGGTTCACACAGCCAGCATGTGGTAAAGTTAAAATTTGAACTCAAGCTGGTTTCCATTAAGAAAAGAAACTATACCAGTGGTGAAGAAGTTTGTCAGGGGAGGGAGGAGGGAAGGGAAAAGGAAGTACTGTGAATTAAATTGATCAAATCATGTTATGTCCCTGTACAAATATGTCATGATGAATCTATTATGTATAATTATAATGCACCAATAAAATTAAAAATAAAACACTAAAGAAAGTAATTTGTCTCACTTTTAGATCACTTTACACTTCTAGACTGAGGGGAAAAACTTAAGCATACAAGAGTTTAGAAAATCAATTATATTATTGACTACTAAAGGTGACTAAAGACATGTTGAAACATATATGGATTAAGGTCCTTATTTCAGAGAGAACATGTGGCCTTTGGTTTCTTGGTATTGTCTCTGATTTGTGGATGTTAACCCACAGGGAGGTTGGGGAGGGGACAATAAAAGTCCATTGGATTAGACAAAGGGGGAGTCCATTGGATTAGACAAAGGGGGAGGAAAGGAAGGAGAGGAATAGGAGAGACAGTAGAAAGTTGGTCAAAACTGTCCTAGCCTTGTATTTGTACACAGGAAAACTGTGCAACCACAAGAGTGGGAACCCAAATAGAATAAGTTGTACTTCATGTATGTATATTCTGCCAAAACACAGTCTACTGTCATGTATAATTATAAGTAATAAAAATGTTTAAAATATTTTTAAGAGTCCTTATTTCATATCACTATACAGATGCAGGTTTGGGGCAACAATTCGATATTGGGTGCTATTTTGTCATTGTTTTAAATCCAGGACCTAGGCACCACAAAATAATTATATCACTAGTGGGGACAGCTATTTTTGCCATTTCTGTCTTCCAACAACTTCAAGAATTGCTTCTTGGGCTGGGGCTGTAGCTCAGTGGCAGAGTGCTCACCTAGCATGTGTGAGGTACTGGATTCGATCCTCAGCACCACATAAAAATAAATAAAATAAAGGCATTCTGTCCATCTACAACTACAAAAACTTTTTTTTTAATTGCTTCTTATGTATCTTTTGGCCATTTCTCCTTTAACTCCCCATTTATCCCTTTTCCAATCCTTTCTAGAAATTGCTCTCCATTCGCCCCATTCATTTTACCAACACTTCTCTAAATACCATCTCAACAAGGTCTTGATCACCAATATTTTGTTTGCTGGAAAGTCTATTAAAAACCACATGCCCCTTAGCAATTGAGAGATTTAATCCAAACTGTTGTGCTGACACCCAGTGGCCAAAGGGTAGGAAGGCTGGGCCTGCAGAGTTCCCAACTTGTGCTCCCTCTCCTGGTAAAGGTCAAGAACAAAGACCACAAAACCAGTCATCTCAGGAAAAGGTCTTCTCTCTCCTTTACAAACATCTGAGTAAGTATTTCCATGTTACTTTACATATTATTCATCTAACCTTGCTCCTCCACTGAATCCACAAGTCTGGGGTTGTAATAGTGCTGGGGATTTAACATAACTCTTTAATATTTTGATGTTCCAGAATACTTTTAAAACTTTGCATTCTAACTCATGCTTAACACACCCTCAGGATTGGGGCACTGGCTAGCCAGGCGTGTATTTGCTTTCTTAAATTATTCCACACTCTCATCTTATAATAATCTTTCCAAGAGGCCCACCCATACACCTGCTCCACCCTGCCTGAAAAGGGACCCAACCCAAACTCTGGCAGGCTGTCTAGTGAGGAACTGCCCTTTCCTTTCAGACCTTGACCTCACAAGTTTCCTGAAGCAGCGTGGGGTTGCTGAGGCTCAGAGCCAGGAAGGGTCTGCTCAGAACTTTTCAGGGAAAGGAATGACTCATACATCCTGTGTGACTGAACCTGTCATCTGCTTCTGGATCCTTTCCAGAGTCCCTAAGACACCAGTATGCTTCCTAGTCGGCCTGGGATATGTGCCTAATTGTAGGCATCCTCCTTTTCAGCCTCATAGCATCAGTGCAAACTTGATTTGGTCTGCTTTGTGCTGCAGTTAGAAATGGAATCTGGGGCTCTTCTCAGGGCCTCCAACCCCACCTCTCACCAGCCTCATATCCTGCCATTCTCTGCAGAGCTCTCTAGACTCCAGCCACAAATAGGACATTCTTCCCTCTAGGCCTTTGCACACCTTGTTCCTTAAACCCAAATCAGGTGTCTCTCCACTCTTCTCATGTCTCCCTTCTTAATAGGCCTCAGCTCAAATGTTACCTCTTCAAAGGTACCTTCACATAACCCCATGGAAAGAGATGACTCCATTGCTATTCTCAATCATAATTGATTTGCCACAATTTGTGACTTAACTGTTTGCACATTTATCTCCCCATCAGAGAACATGCTCCAAGCCAGTAACTGTCAGATCGGGTGAGTTGGGCAGCAACCAAAGGAGGCAGATTTAAAAGGGCCACCGAATGAGACTCACTCCCGGGCAGACTCGATCAGACCCACAGAGTGGACAGGAGAAGGGTCTGAGGAGAAACCGCGTGGAAGCTCAACCAGACTGGACTTTTATGGGGCTTACAGTAGGAAGGGAAGGGCTTGGGACAGGGAAAGGTATTTTTAGGGTCCCTTGTCCTTTTGGAGTTGGTCAGGGGAGATAGCTAAACTCCAGGATTGGCCAGGGGGTCCTGCTGATTGACAGGCATTAGTCAGGAGATCTCGCTGATCCACAGGCGTTTCCACTGGCACCTGATTGATGTTCCTTTCCTGCGTGGCTGCTTTGTTCTAAGTTGCCACCAAGTCGCCACCAAGTCGCCACCACCGACCTAACAGTAGCTTTGCCTGTCTTAATCTTAAACATTTGCATGCTCAGCCCTATTTATTCAGTAGATGCTGAATAAATATTTGTTGAATGAATTTCCACCCACACCAAGTTATTTTCTCTTTCCTAATCAGGACGAACTATTCTGCCAATGTAATCGGCTCCTTACTCCTCTTTTCCCAAGTTCCAGCTTAAATATTACCTTCTCAATGAGGCCCTCCAATATTATCTCTGCTTTTCTTTCTCTGCTCCAAACAGTGAGACATTTGTGTGTGTGTGTGTGTGTGTGTGGTGCTGGGCATTGAACCCAGGGCATTATGCATGTGAGGCAAGCACTCTACCAACTGCATTATATCCCCAGGCCTGAGCCATTTCTTCTCTGGAATCCTGGGATCCCAATTGCTTATCCTCTAAGCACTTGTAACGTTATCTACCTATTCTACTATACTAGTGTAAAGATGGCCTTAGGCCTTAGCCTAAGCAACTCCATTTTAAAACTGCAGGTTTGAAACCTGCAGTCTCATCAGGCATACCTACAGAGCCTTCCAGTATGGCCCTCAGGCACAAACAAGTCATTTCTCCCCACCCTGAGAAGCTCAGAGTGAAGTCTCTGTCATGTTGTCCTCACCTCAATAAGGGGGAGTGGCAAGAAAATCAGGATAGGGACCACAGACCAGATGCTTTATGCAAATGAATGATAGGGATTGAAAGGGTGGTCAGAAGCCCCCAAATTTAGTATAAATGATGGAGCAAATGAACTGACATTAAGCCAGCCCACACTGATGCCCTCCCGCTGGAGAGCCTGATGAGAACCTGGACTGACATCCCAACTCTTTTCATGGATTGCCTGATCTTCTGCCTCTTCCTCACCACTCTCAGACGCTACAGCCACATCTTGACCCTGGTGAGAGCTGCAACTTCTCCCTAGGACTCTCTCCTAAACTGGCTGTCAGCTCCACCCCAGGAGAAGCCTGCCTTGGTTCCTGATCTGATCACCAATGGTCTGAGTGAGTGTGTGTCCGCTGGTCTTAAAGCCTAAGGTTTGAGACTTTTGATCTGATACTGGAGCTTAGTGTCAGGTCGGTGGCGGTGACTTAGGAACAAAGCACCAAGTAGCCTGAGCATGGGAAAGAAATATCAATGAGGCACCGACGGATACGCCTGTCAATAAGTGGGATCTCCTGGCTAATGGCTGTCAATCAGCAGGGTTTCCTGACCAATCCTGGTCTCAGCCAGTTCCCCAGACCAACTCCAGTAGCATAAGGGACTCTTAAAAACAGTTTTTCCTGTCGCAAGCCCTTCCTATCTTGCCATAAGCCACATAAAATTCCAGTCCTGAAGAGCCCCCATGTGGTTTCTCCTCAGACCCTTCTCCTGTCTACTCTGTCAGTCTGATGAGTCCCACATGGGAGTGAGTCTCAATAGAGCCTAGTTCAGCAGCCTTTTAAATCTGCCTCCTTTGGTCGCTGCCCAGTTGCCTAACCTCACATCTGGTGCTGAAACCTGGGAGGGATTTTCGGGCTTCTGCCTCAGGGGATTGAAGTCCATCCCTTCCCCCTTCAAATGAACCAGGAAAATTCCTAAACTGCTCTCTCCCTCTCTCTTCATCTGGGCCAACAGAGTTGGGTAAGTTCCCTTGTTCTCCTGACCTTACAGCCCCTTTCCATGTGTGGGGTCTATCCATAAGTCACACGCATGCCATAGACACTACCCATTCCGTTCAAGTCTCTGGGAGACATCCCAGTCCTCTTGCAAGCCCCTCCATCCGTTTGGACCCCCAAGTGGGTTGCTGGGACACCTCACCCCTGCCTGGCCCTTATCCGTTCCTCAGGTGAGCACAAGCAAAATTTGGGACACATTTTTCTGCTCTCACTCAC